AACCAACAGTCGATAAATATTCGCAGATCTGCATGTTTATTGAACTAATTACTATCACTGTAGACTAATCGCCGAATTGTAAGTTGATGTAGATAAATCAAGTCGGTAGCCTCGTTGGCTAATGCGCAGAACCTGCCCTATGATTAGGTCGATTACAGTTATTCATAAATCGGCAAGTCGTTGATGCATTCCTCTCCGCGTCTAATTGTCTTAACGATTTGATATCAGGTCGCTTTGGCAATTCGACGAAAATTATCTGAGAACACATAATAAAACATCTGAAACACACGGGTCAATTTTTAATTGACTTTTTGTTTAGATGTTTTTTTCTTCAGGAAGTTGATGTTTAAAGAAAGTTAAGTTGCCCTAGAAAATTTTTCCTCGAGTACTTTTAAGTACTGTTATTATAATGATAAAAACACCAAAAAGTAGTGAATATTTTCAACGGGGAGCGCCCTGAGGTCATGTACAAATCATTCTATATTAACACGAAGACCAATTTTTATTATAAAACCTACCTCCAATGGATTTTTTTGATGCAATAATTTTTTTTATTACTTTCACGTTTGATCTAAATTTTCATGTTAAAAACTTATTCGAATGAATTAAAGAAAACTAAATAGTTTTGTTTTCGTTACCGAGCTAACAAAAGTTACAAAGAATTCTGTGTGTTTATTAACTGCACAATCGATTTTGTGTAGTGATTGATTGTTTGGATATTTCTTTACCTCTGCAATGCCATTTCGCTGCTGAGAACTAGGGCCTGTTCCGAAAATTAAGGTTAATTGATTGCAAGTCCGGATCAGGAGTGGCAAACGAGAATGTCACAATTGTTCTGCTTCAGACGGCATTATTGATGAACACGTCTTCGAACGACTTCAGCCCGACGGCCGGATCCGGAGAACATATTCAAGTTCCGCTTGTATTATGTTATTTATAAGAACTCGCGTTTCTCAATCAATGGCGTGTTGTACAACGAGTTAACAAGTTCTACAGGTTCATTGATACCAATCAAATTCGATGGTCCAGTTAACTCATGTACCGCCATGGTGTTCCTTCAAAAGAAAAATCTATAATGAAATTAGTTTATTTAACATTAATTTGCACGATTAGCTGCCGAAGATCTTTCGTTGACGGGCAAATGTTCACCTCAATCTGTACAGCAGTCCATACAGAATCTGTCATGTTGCGGTTTTATGTTCTTGCATATTAGCCAGTGAAGAGTATTTTGTGATGTCATATTTCACATTTATTGGGAGAAGAGAGGTGGGACTTGAACCTACGACCTCGGGGTCTACGAATCGAGAGCTAACACGCTGACCATTCGGTCCCCCGAAAATGTAGGGGTGCAATTCTTCCGTTTGACGAAATCATCTTAATCAGTTCGGCACGCTGCTAGAGCAGTTGATGCTTTTCAGTGAAAAGTTTACTCTTAATTCATTTGAAATTATAAGCGCTTGTTATTTAAATTTGAACTAATACCAGATGAGTTTAATTTTTGGGTTCTCTACGATGATGGACTGAGCTTGGTCGCTATCAGACGCGTTGAATTTGGTGTAAGTGAAAAATTTGTTGTTATTTGACGTCAAAATTTCAGTTCTCCAGCTTTTGGCGATGATTTGAATTTTATAGATTTTTTCTTTTTTTATGAATAAGCTATGTAAGGTTGTTTTAATAATCTTAAGATTTTACATAATTATTTATTTAGAAATCGTGAGATGCGGTCTGGTGTGATGTAGGTTTCAGAAAAACATTTTCTTTATCGTGTTTGTCCCAGGCCCTGAAGATGACCTCAATAAAGATCGAAACGTTGGCACGATAAAGAAAATGTTTTTCTGAAACCTACATCACACAAGACCGCATCTCACGATTTCCGAATATTCATCGAATAACGGTCACTAATCACCACACATTTTATATAATAGCAAGTTTAAACAGTCAATGCTTGAGATTTTGTTTTATTTTCTATGTTTCGGGGTCAGTACTCTACCATGAGCTTATTACATATATTTTTCCTAATAAAAAAAAATAACGGGTTTCATTGTGTAAAACCAGCGATAGTGCACTGGTTTTTTCATTAGCTAAAAATAAAGATATTGCCAATAGAAATTTTAAGTTTTTTAAAGCACAATGATATAGTACAAAAATTGATCTATGCAACAAAGTTTGGATATCACATCATTAAACCAAATGTTTCGTATTGATGATGGGTGTTGGACCCGAGTCGGTGAAGTCATGTTGAACTGGCTGAGGGGCCACTTGTAGGGTCCGTCTTCCCTCGCGGGTTTGTGTGTTTGACATTGCGCCATCTTCAATGAGGACCTATCCGTCACTTTGTCCGAGTATGGTTTATATCTCATTGGGTACGTCGGTTGTCGTTAGGGGCGTTTGCGATAGAGGGCTTGGTCACGCTAAAAGTGACAGACAATTACTCACTGAAGACTGCGCTAGGACGAAAAGAGTTTGAGTAATTTAACAAACCCGCGAGTGAAGACGGACCCGATAAGTGACCCCAGTCTCGGTTGTCCACTGTTTTGCAATAATAAAAACAAAACTAAGCTGATGTTTTGGAATTGATCTATTATAATAATAACAGCAACAAAATACCACAAAAAAAAGCCATGCGCTGTGCCGGGATTCGAACCCAGGCCAGCTAGCGTGACCGACGCCCTAACCAATGGCACCGCAGTCCCAGTTCTCCTAGAAAATATGGAGTTTATTAATTTATTTAATTATGCCTTGCCTTTTTTTGTACTTATTCCATTATGCAGAGACACCCATACAGTTTTAAACATAAATTGACGGCACTGTGCAGTAATTTATACCTAGACAAGTAGAATTAGCGTCAAATTGTTTAGAGATGTCCAAAAAGGCATACTGTGTTTTAAAAAATTGTTTCCTTCTCGAAAAAAATTAGACAGCCCGTCAGGCTTAAAGACTAACTGTAATCTGTGTACAAATTTCATTTAACCAAAATTTGGCCTATCCAGTTTTGCAGATATAGAGTAGTAGTAATTTTCAGAAAATTAATAATCAAGATAAATCTAAGCTTTTTATACATCTATATTATGATAGATGATCAGAATATGATCGAAAATGATTTTGTTTTTGGTGTGATGAAAAATTATAACAAATTATTTGGAGATCGTGAGATGCGTTCTGGTGTGACGTAGGTTTTAGAAAAACGTTTTCTTTATCGTGCCAACGTTTGGATCTTTGTTGAGATCATCTTCAGGGCCAGGGATTTATAAACATTGTTTAAATTATACAAATACAATGATAGAAATTTTATATCTATCAAAGTATTTGTACTCATTCAAAGTGTTTGTTTTCTGAGAAGATGAGTCAACTGTCATGTTGAGAGTGCCAGTGACAGATTGATGCTTCATATCTATGTACATATACGGACATAAAACATCAATATTTCACTGGCAACGACACATCTACACAGAACACGAACACTTTGAGTGAGTACAAATACTTTGAATTTAAAATTTCTAGCATTGTATAAATTCACTTTTTTCACATTCTACATGTATTTGTATAATTAATTTAAGCAATGTTTATAAATCCCAGGCCCTGAAGATGGTCTCAATAAAGATCTAAATGTAAAATAAAGAAAATATTTTTCTAAAACCTACGTCACACCAGACCGCACCTCACGATTTCTGAATAACTAATATAAACAAAAAAATCATTTATGTCTTACTAACACTCGCAATACCAACCAAAACCTCGACATATCTACACAGAAAACAAACTCTTTGAGTGAATACAAATACTTTGATTGAATATAAAATTTCTATCATTGTATCTGTGTAATGTTTATAAATCCCAGGCCCTGAAGATGATCTCAGTAAAGATCGAAACGTTGGCACGATAAAGAAAATGTTTTTCTAAAACCTATGTCACACCAGACCGCACCTTACGATCTCCAAATAATCATTATCACTAACTGTTACTAAATACCACACGTTAAGAAAAACATTTTCTTTATCGTGCCAACGTTTCGATCTTTATTGAGATTATCTTCAGAGACTGGGCTGTATAAACATATTTTAAATTATACAAATACATATAGGATGTGGAAAAAATCGAATTTATATAATACTAGAAAATTTTGACTCAAAGTATTTGTTTTCTGTGTCATTATTGTGTGTCGTGTTGAGAGTGCCAGTAACACAACAAAGCACCACACAATTTTAACAAAATTTATTTTAACATACATTTATTTTTATGCGAAGAACATTGAAATGAATAATTAGTGTCACGAACGGTACACTAATTTTCATCCCAACGTTCCTTGCTTAAAAATTAATATATACTAAAAAAACTAGTTAAAATAACAAATAAGAAAAAAATATTTTGGTAAAATAAGCCAGTAGTGACACATTTCGCACTTCTTCAAATGAGACAAAAATCGTTCCTTTATATAATTTGTACATATTTTTTAAATTAATTTTATTTGTGCTTGCCTTATTGCGTTATTGTCGCCAGTTTAATGAAGATTGGGTTTTTTTAATCAGACAATAGATTATACGCCATTTATTCTGGGTTCCAATAGGGTTTACGTCTCTGAGGGAAGGATTATTTTGATTCATTCTTTGTTTGGTCGAAACCTGTATTTTTCACCTAATTTGAAGTATAATCTAAAAGAAAAAGGTTTACGACTGGAAATCGCTGAGGTATGGATTGATTTTAAATTAAATATGTGTTCTTGCCTTTTTCCTATTACAATATCAAATATTTTACAGTAGACCTGACTTTCTAGATGCTCCGGAGAGTGACTTGTAAATTACCAGCCTTGAAGGCCTTATCCATTGTCATATGGCCGACATATGGCATGCCTCGGGAGTTATCACTTGATTTCAATTATATGGGATGCCCCAGCGTGGCCAGAAGGGGTTGAGGGTGTAAAAAAACAACCTTCTTAAGACGTGGGCCTTATTTGGGTCATGTCGATAACAAAAAGAGATATTCGAGTTTTTTTATAGTCTTACCTGGATTCGTGAGCCACTCTTGCAACGCTTTCTGCAGCCTCCTCACATGAAGCGGCTTCGAAGCCATTCCGACCAATGCCATTATTTCGAGAAACTCTTCTTCGCCCGCTTCGCACAATTGTTGGACATCGTCACCGCCTGAAAAAAAAAGCTGGATTATTGAAAATTTTCAAAGAGAAACCAATGCATACAACAAAATTCAATGTTGAAAACTATTCAATCCATTATATTTCGTGGTCCGATTGACCAAATAACTTTTTTCAATTAATTAATCTTTATGTAAGGTATTGGTTGAATATGCTATAGTTAATGTAGGTATGGTTAAGTAGGTTGAGATGAAGAGTTGGTGTCCGAGTGGATCGAAGTCACCATAGCTCAAGCGGTAGAGCAGCGGAGTATTGAGCCGGAGGTCGTGGGTTCGAATCCCGCTCGTGACACTAACTGTTTCATTTCAACCAAACCTTACATAAAGATTAATTAATCAAAAGACGTTATTTGGTCAATCGGACCACGAATTATAATGGATTTAATAAGTAAAACGAAGTGTATCTTCACTAATGCTCTCCGTGGCCATTTCTAGCCGGGAATGGAATCTGATTACACGACATGGCAAAAATGGCAAAAAGGAGGGAAAATTCCAAAGGTTGTAGGTTGAGTTGGGGAATTGGTGTCCGAGTGGATCGAAGTCACGATAGCTCAAGTGGTAGAGCAGCTGCATATTGCGCCGAACGCCATGGGTTCGAATCCCGCTCGTGGCACTAACTTTTTCATTTCAACCAATACCTTACACAAAGATTAATAGAGATAATTAATTCAAAGTTGAAAACTATTATCAGTGTTAGAAGTATCGCTTACTTTTCCCCTCACGAATTCTGGATATTGGATCAAGGTGCGGACTTGAAAAAAAAGCAAATACAGTTGTTACTGCTAAGCTATCGACCTATTTTAAGGTCTTCATGAGGACAAAAAAGTATGAACGATAATGCTACAGTCCAAGGGAATGTCAGGACTGAGTCGCTATTCAAGAACATTTGAGATCGCCTGTAAAAAAAACCTCCTGTATATATATTTAAAATTGTTCGGCACTGATGATGACCTTAAAATAGGCCGAAAGCTTGGCAGTAACAACTGAATTTGTTATTTTCTTATATAACTTGATACAGAGCGTTCGTGAGTGAAAACTATTATAGCAAACAAGACAAGGCAATTAAAGCTTAAAATGAAGGCAAACCGTTGATCTATTTGGATTAGCTTATAATTTTTTAATTTCAGCGTAAACTGTTTTTTCTTCCATATCGTCGGACTAAACGTTAATAACGTTAAATCTGTCCTCTTATCGAAATTACGTGACTCGAGAGAACGGTAGACAAATCTATTCAAATGACCGAACTTTAATGATATGAGTGAGAAAGTTGTTCCTAAAGAGGGGCAGTTTGACAGTTGGCTTGAAAATTAGAGTTTTACTGATGTTGTGATATAGGAGTCGGGGTAACCGGGTTATAAATAGAAACATTTTGAACCCTTATCTTCAATTTTATAATTTTTTATTTTCACTATAGGTTTAGTTTTATACATGACTACAGATAATTTAGTAGTGGATTTGAATTATAAAAAGGAGGATTTTTAAGATATAACCATCCTAAACGCCAGACTTTTATTATTTATGCACACAAAGTTAAATACTAAAAAATAATAATTAACTCATTTAACTCTATTGAAAAAAATCCTAACGTTAAAGATTAATTTTTTACATGTGCGTACCCATTTCCAGGAGAGTATCGTAGTAAGCCAGAAGACTGGCTCTTTGCATCACCCTGTAAAGCTGGAGCTCAGCTTCGTTGGAAGGCGACGAAGTCCAAACAACTGAAATCGAAACAATACATTAGCGTCAAAAATTTAAATTAATTGTAACAAATTTAAAAAATACTTTGTGTGGTGTTTAGTGACCGTTAGTTAATGATTTTTTGGAAATCAAGTTGAGAGACACAACACGACACAAGAATGACACATCTACACGGAAATCAAAAACTTTGAGCCCTGAAGAAAATCTCAATAAAGATCGAAACGTTGGCACGATACTGCTTCAATAACGTGCATTTTAAAAGAATTATGATCTGAATTTTATTTAGAGCTAATAATATTAGTTGTTAAACTTCAGTTTTTAAAATTAATAATAGTTTTGGCTTTAAAAAAAAACGCGCGGTTTTAGATATGAATTAAAACTACCAAAGATAAATAAGATTTCGTTGGTATTTAAACGAATTTTCTACCTTAGCCTCACTCACTCTCTCACTCTCACTCTCTCTCTCTCTCTCCTTCCCTCTTTTCTCACCCTTTCTACTGTTTGATCTATGAGAGATCCCTGAGGCAAAACATTTATTCATCTGTCTGTCTCGCTATCCGATATTCTCTCGCACTCACTTTATCTATTTTTCTCTTACCCTTTCTCCCTTTCTACTGTTAGATGTTGTAGTCCTTTACTTGAGACAGTATTTTGCATGCTCAAAAATAAAACATTCATTCATCTGTTTCTCTCCCTTTCTTTAATTTTTCTCTCTCACCCTTTCTTCCTTTATATTTATCTCTTACCATCCCTCTATCTCTCTCTCTCTCTTTCTCTCTCTCTCACTCTCTCTCTCCCTCTCCCCCTTCCCTTTTTTTTTTTTTTTAAATAAAAACAGCTATAACAACAGACAATAATAACTTTAAATTGTTAACTATTGGATCAATAATGACCCTTTTTTAACGAGGGGATTCCAAGTGCCGATGTTTTTGGGAAAAAACCAACTTGTAAGTATGTCGGGTTCGAATGCAGGGCCGCTGGATTCGAACCTGGGACTTTTACCTTACAGTGATGAGCGCCGTGTCAACGCCTAAACCGTTGCGGCCACCGACGCCCCAATAACGACTTCTTTTGGGCTGACGTGAATAATAAATACTGCTTTAATATAATAAATATTATTACGATTATTTTAGTAAATTATATAACTGATTTTTTATAACATAAGTTGCATTGAGTGGATAAATTACCCACTGAAACAGATCATACGTAGACAATAATAGTTTGATTTATTCTTATGCTTTAGCCTCTTCAGTCTGCGGGCAGGGTTGGATGGAATTCAGCAAGATGAGAGTTTTTCAATCAACGGGTTTGTAGTGGTTGGAAGATTTTTGTGAAATTCGCGGTAACGGGATCGAGTTACTGGACAAAGGAACTTTAGATCTGAATAAATATGGACTTTTTTCACAGGGGATTATTTTTCTTGTTAGGTAGATAGGGAGCAGATAAACAGGAAAACGCGGTTGTGCTTTTAATTATTAACATCCTCAAAGGGGTAAGTGAAGAGTTTTGTTTGTTAAAGTTTTTAAAAAAATTCACTATTAATGAAAGAAGAAATGTTCTAGAGGGTAAAATTCCCATTTTATTTAATTCGTGTATGGTATATGAATGAAGTGGCAATTTGCTTATTGAAATGGTGAAGTTTTGATAGAAAGAATGTCTGTAATTGAAAAAGAGAACGCTTGTTTTTCCACAGTGGAAGGTTTTTCCTTGTAAAGCCGGTGGACTGTCTACATAATTTCCACCCGAGCACAATGGTCGCCGTCCGCCTCTCGTCGCATTTCTTGCCAGAGAGCTCTCTTATTACTCCTGGCTGCAAAAAGTCGTCTTACGTCTCGTCGTGGAATGTTTTCTGAACTTTTCCAGTCGCAGAAACAGCGGAGAGTCACGCTCTCGGAAAGAAAAAGCGAGGAGGCGTGGAGGGCTGAAGAAACCCGCGCGGGGGGGCCAACGGACGGACGAGGAGGAAAAAACTTTTCTTACACAAGCTGGTGGTCAGTGCGTTTTATATGGGTTTGGAAATTGGCCGTAACCGAGCCTTCCTCCCATTTCGGCCCATCACGATAAACAAAAAACCATCACAAGTGCCGAAAAACACAAATTTACACCCAAAACGAAACATCCGCACCATTGTTCTCTTAACTAGTTTTTAAACTAAACAGCCTATATGCAATGTACTTTTATAGAAGTTTTTATGACTATACAATAAAAACGTTCAGTGTTGACTACAATTAGAAAGAAAACGAAATATATTATGAAAAATTCTATACAGGAAATATAACCTCCATCCAGTTATCCCTGCCATGGCAATAATATTAATAAATTGCAATACACAACAATTGTTAACAATTAAAATTTCTCTTTCACTGTAAATTTAATTCGTAATTTTATATTTCCTGTTTAGATCTATTAACCTTTTAAATTGTTAATTCAAGTTTAACAGTCGTGAAAAATGGCCCAATTGGCCTCATCCTTGATCTTTTTAAACAAATAATTATAAAATTTGAAAAATGGCAAAAAGGAGGGAAAATTCGAAAGGGTTGAGATGGGAAGTTAGTGTCCGAGAGGATTGAAGTCACGATAGCTCAAGTGGTAGAGCAGCGGCGTATTTAGCCGTAGGTTGTGGGTTCGAATCCTTTTTTTATCTCAACCAATACCAATACCTTACATAAAGATTAATTAATTGAAAGATGTTATTCGGTCAATAGGACCACGAATAATTATAATTATTCAGAAATCGTGAGATGCGGTCTGGTGTGATGTAGGTTTCAGAAAAACATTTTCTTTATCGTGCCAACGTTTCGATCTTTATTGAGATCATCTTCAGGGCCTGGGATTTACAAACATTGTTTACATTTAACAAATACATTTAGGATGTGAAAAAGTGAATTTATACAATGCAAAAAATATATATATTTTAATATTCAATCAAAGTATTTCTACTCACTCAAAGTGTTTGTCTTCTGTGTAATTGTGCCATTCTTGCGAGTCGTGTTGAGAGTGCCAGGGAGATATTGCTGTCTTATGTTTATATATGTTGGATTTTGAAGGGGTGGGGAAGGAAGGTCTTTAATGTGACTCTTTTGACAAATGACCTTTCTCCGATGAAAAACAGGTCATTTTTGACTGAGGGAAATAAAAATTATTCAAAATTATTGTTGCGTAACGTATACATTTACATTGACAGAGTTGTTTCAGCATAAACATAAGACATAAAACATCAATATCTCACTGGCATTCTCAACACGACACGCAAGAATGGCACATTACACAGAAGACAAACACTTTGAGCGAGTAGACATACGTTGATTGAATATAAAAAAATATATTTTGCATTGTATAAATTCACTTTTTCACATCCTAAATGTATTTGTTAAATGTAAACAATGTTTGTAAATCTCAGGCCCTGAAGATGATCAATAAAGATCGAAACGTTAGCACGATAAAGAAAACGTTTTTCTGAAACCTACGTCACACCTGACCGCATCTCACGATTTGTGAATAATTATCGATTAACGGTCACTAATCACCAAACAAAATAATTATAATGTTGAAGGCTTATGACTAATAATCGGGGAACTACAGCGAAACTAATAATTTATCCTGACATACATTCATCATATCTTGTTAAATTGAATTAAAAAATAACTAACAAACTGTCAAAAAGTAATAAATAGGGATATAAATAGGGATTTATTTAATAGTGTATCGTGGCTAAGAAGGGACCGGATGAATGAAGAAGAAGGAGACGAGGAATTAAGATTAAGAAGCAGGGGAGGAATAAAGAGAGATTAAGTACTTGTGATGAGTGGACGATGATTAAAGAAAGAATTATTAAAGTTTTCACGGCGATGCTTTTACATGGTGACCCGACGTGTATAATATATAAAATAATGAAGGATGATTAAAAAAATAATAATAATAATAAGTTTCGATCTTCATTTAAGAACCTTGCATCAGTGATGTAACCAAAATGTATCGGAGTTGAAGAAAAAGAAGAAATAATTCGTATTAATTACATTATTACTTAAGATTATATAATAACGTAGTGGAAGAAATGACATTTGGCTTTTGCCGAGATAAATTTCATCAACGAGATGAAGACGAAATTGATGAAGTTTTTTATATATCAAATCCATTATATTTCGTGGTCCGATTGACCAAAATTAACTTGTTTCAATTAATTAATATTTATTTAAGGTATTGGTTGAAATGAAAAAGTCAGTGTCAGGATCGGGATTCGAACCCACGATCTTCGGCTCAATACGCCACTGCTCTAACCACTTGAGCTATCGTGACATCGATCCATTTCGCTGAGAATCGAAACCTGATTACACGACATTTGAAAAATGGCAAAAAGGAGGGAAAATTCGAAAGGTTGTAGGTTGTGATGGGGAGTTGGTGTTCGAGTGGATCGAAGTCACGATAGCTTAGTGGTAGAGCAGCGGCGTATTGAGACGAAGGTCGTGGGTTCGAATACCGATCCTGACACTGAATTTTTCATTTCAACCAATACCTTACATAAAGTTTAATACATATTTTATACCTTGTACTTTTTTCATCGCACAATTGAGTAAATAGTTAAATAATTGTTTAATTAAGGAATTTACAAGAAAATCTTACTACTAATTTGTTTTCAACATAAACAATAAAGGATAGTCATTTGTCCGTAAATATTTCGTAAAAATTTTCTTTTCATAGATAAATAATTATTAAAAATAATAAAACGCTGATCACATTTCCTCATTGAACGTTCGTAAAACAAGAAACACGTATGAGAGAAAGATAAGCCAGCGAGAATGGGCGGACCCTGTGAAGTGATTACTGTTGTTCCACATGTGTATTAATCCATTTCAGATCCATCATCCCTATGTGTAGAGGTATACGGTATAAACAGGACAGTGTATAGATAGAACCCCGACCTGCCTCTTGGTATACGCTGCATTCCGGACAATGTATAGCACTAACTATACTAAAGATCCAAGTTCGAAGAGGCAGATAAGAAATCTTTCTACTTTCTAAC